CAAACAGTATTCCTTTTTGTTTAGGGAACAAAGGACACCTTGGGTGACCTCCCACCAAAAGATAAAGTCTGGAATACAGATGTATGGAAAAGATGACCTGGAGCCCTTAGATGATAAAAATACAGCAAGAAGAAAGCAAAGCCTCTTATAGGAATAAAAGTGAACTTGCAATAAACTTACATTTGAACTGAACTTCACAAGAGAAATGTTGTTTTTAGGTGTCATCTGCCATATGTTCTTCATCAAGAAACCAACTGCACTGGTAAATCTGTCTGGAGTTGGCACAAAGTTTTTGAATGTGCATTTGGTAAGATGAATAGGTCCATCATAAATTTGAAAACCTCTGATTGGAAACGTCCTGTTAATACAAGTAAACGTTTAATGGTTTTTAAAATAGCATCCTGTAACAAGAACCATGACAAGTCTCAGCTGGTGTCAGAAATAGGTTTTCTCCCATTCAAGAATCAAGAAAGCAACACGAACACAGTGACTCACAGATCAGGTCTTTGTAAAGGAAAACTTGTTTCAGGAATTTTAGAGTCACATAGATAAGTCCAAAGCCTTGACTTTGAGTTTTCTTGTTAGAAGAAAGAGCTATCACAGTCCATCTGCACATCTGTCCTTTCCCCAAAAGGGAGAACACAGTAGGAGACTACTACCACTTGCTCGACTAGCCTGAGTACTTCATGAATCACCACCATATTCACTTCTCAAATAAGTGAGCCCTCACAAATGGCTAAGTAGCATAAAACCAGTCTGACCTAGATCTAGCTTTCACCTCTGGGGAAAGGGGTAGGATCTGGCACCATGTTAAACAAGCATCACATCAAGCCAGAGGGAGAAAGAAAGGATCATTGTCATAGACAGATTTAGTCTGTAGTCCCAACCTGCCCCTTGAATTCCCTTTACCTGAAGGCTTTTTCTTTCTTCCAGGTCCAAATGTTTTAAAAGACTAAGCTTTCATTACGAAAGTAGAATAACTTAAATTGGTAAGGAAGAAAAACTTTTGATAGCAGAAAATCAAAACAATTTGCAAAAAGGCAAGAGTGACACAGCTGTCATGCAAAGTGTTACAAACACTGTCACCTTCAATAGAGTCTTAATCTCTTACAGATCATGCAAGAAAGGAGCTTACATCTTATACAAAGAGCATTTCTGGGGCAGTAGTTATTTCACTCATAAAATACTTACCGATTTCTAGGCAGAGTGCGTGCTTTATTGTCTATTCCTCCAGTTCCCCCATATTTATTTTGGCCACCTGGAAACCCATAATTCTTGCTCTCACCTACAAACAGAGACTCAGATACCTCCTGGCTGGCACCTTCATCATTTGGGAAGCTCCCATCACTATTAAAGCAATGTCAGAGATAAACTTTTAGTTAATGTTCTCCAGCAGATGAAAACACCAAGCTGTGGTGCTATTTCTGCTTTGCTTTATGAAGACCATTGTAAAAACAGTCTACATCTCATTTATAATTCATAAATAATACATAAATATAAATAAATATATAAATAAATATAAATACATATTATAAATAAATATAAATACATATAATACATAAAGCAATAAATATAATCATTAACAGTATTTCAGACTAATTGTTTAAAGGGCTAAATACACTTGTGCAGAGCTGACCATTACATTTTCTTGTCTCCCCTTGTAGTCCTGCACTTTCAGAGCCCACAGTCACAATTCTAGACCCAGTTTGTTGTTACCTAACCTGACAACAATTTTGGCATTCTACCAAAGTCACTTAATACTTTTATATAAAAATGAGACTGCTCGCTTGAAAGACTCATCCCCTTCCATTTCCTCTACTCAACTCTTCAGGAAGAGAACCAAAACTGCCTAAGGAGTCACGCTATACCAAAAACACTGGGATAAAAGTAACCCTTTTGGTGAAGGGGCAGCAATTTGTGGTGCAATGCCAGCACATGCTGAATTAAAGCACAAGCTTTGACAGTCATGTCAATTTACAGCCTTAATATCTTTTGCATCCCTAGAAATAGACCAGGGCCCAGAAATAAGGCTATAGCAAGTATACCTATTAATTTTGACAGAAGGATTTATATTTTCTAAACTTTTAAGCAAGCAAAAACACAAGTGATTAACACAAAGTACTCACCTAGCAAATGTCAAACCTATTCCATTGTCTGCAAACCTAGAAGAAAGTTTATCAAATCAAGTTTCAAGTCACATTTTCTGAATTATCCTTCAATAAACTAATGTAAGAGCACAGCCTGTTTTGAACTGCAGAAAGTTTGAGTTTTTGTATTAATGGAATTTAGAAACCCTTCACATTTATAAATAACTCTTATAAAAACGCTGATGTTACAAAAAGATCAAGTAATCTGTTATATATTCTAAGTGAAAACATGACAGCTTCAGGGAAGCCATAAAAATCTCAGTACAAATGTATGGTCTCAATCAACTTTTGGACTTCATTCTTTATTATGCAAATTTTTTGCTTCCATTTAAGGCAGGTTCCCATTTAACTGTGTATAAACTTGTTTCATCTAAAGTAGTGGAATATTGTGTGTTAACAGCACTAACTGACACTTGGAATACGCAGGGGTAGAAGACACCCCTCTGGAGCAAGGTTATTAGATGTTTATTACCTTGAAATCCCCAAACCGCAAGGGGAACCCTGGGAAATGGACGAATTAATAGGCTACAGTATGGGGTACTGCACATGCGCTATGGATAACAAGGGGAGCAATAAGTCTTTAGGTGTACACAAGTCCAGACTGGCGCCTATGTGGCGCAAGTCTAAGGGTCGCGACCCGCTGCTCCTCATGGGTTCTGCACACCAAGTGTTTTGGCAGCTGGACTGATTGATCAGTCAGCGTGCTCGCCAGTCTTCTGCTGTTCACCCACTACATTGTGAAAGTAGTGGAAGATATTGAGAAGCTCTCAGAGTTAAGCATCAGTCCTCTCTTACAACCCTGTTGTAATACATTGTCATAAACGCACCTTTAGGGGAAATTTCTTACCCAAATGTAGCTGTTTGCTCCTGGATACCTACCCAGAGTCGTGAACAAGGATATCCCCTCCCCTAACCCAGGCCCCGTGATCATTGTTTTTGAAAGAGATCAATCTGTCAATCAGGGCAGCAACTCGGGGCTTTTCAGGGTCTGCATCTTCATGAGGACGAAACCTGGGACAGAAACCAAATGACGCTTAAAATAAAAATAGTATTTGTTTTATGTGTGTCATATATGTAGAGCTGAGAGAGCCTGAAAGCTAAACATTCGCACTCATCTGAGAGGCAAAAATCAACTCTGCTTCATGTTTGGAAGTGACAGAAACCAAAACTAAGTGCATCTGTAGTTCTCCATTTCCAGAAAAGTGTCTACATGGATCTCATCAAGTGGGAACTTCTCTTTTCCCAGAACTCTCCAGCCCTTTGTTCAATCTCCCTCAATTTCTCAGGCTGCACCTTACCTTCCCTTTAGCCCCCCACTTTTTCTCCCTGCCTTATGTATCCTTTCTCCACTTCTATTGGAGCATTAATATGAGAGTTTGATGGAGGGAATTAAAGCTACTGACTGTTCCTTCAAACTCGCGTGGTGTTGAGGAGTGCTCCTTGTTTGAACACACCTGAGGTATTCCTGTATTCCAGCTCAGACAAGCACTCTGTATTGCTATCAAGATGGTCTCATAGGGTAAGTTATGGCTGAGATCTATAAATTAACCTCGAAATCACAGGGGAAATGCATTATAACACATATTAAATTATAAAATATAATCTGCTTGAATTGCATTTTCATAAAAGTACTTATTCCCCTTACCCCAACCACCCTGTGCTCTATCTGGGATCTGCTGTATCATGATCCACGTCTGGAAGTTTCTGAGTGCGGGAGGGAAGAAACAGGGAATGTTTGTTTTTGACAGTCTCCGGACCCTTGATTAATATTTAAATTCCTCCAGTCTGATTTCATGTACAGTCATTAGTGGCCTCATGTCATTACATTCAAGTAATCAGTACAGTAATCTTCCTGAACTATACTTTCAGTTTTAAGGCTCAGTGGCCACAACAGAATATCAATGAATATAACTACTCAATATTTTCCCTATCATTTGAGATTCGATCACTAATCAAAGATATTTTATTTGAAGTTCAGGACAAGACTAGACAGACACAATATAACCTGGAATTTTCCTAGACTCTCCACCACCATCTCTCACTTTGTAAGTTAAATAAAATGTATTTGGGTTGTATTATCTCAGCAAATAACCTCCAATAAAACTGTACCACTGAACTATAAATGCCAACTCTAGGAGGTATGCCAGGAAACATTCAGCAGTAAGAAAGGTAAGTGGATGTATTACTTGCCACTTGTTTGATGAAGGCATACAAGTATAAGACTGACCCATAAATCAGAAAAACAGATTTTAAAATATACCTTTATCTTTAGCAGCAATACCAGAAAATACTTTGACCGTGACAACAGAGCATGGTTAAAATTAATTCTAAAAGGCTGAAAACCATCTTGGGCAAGGGCTCAGGAGGAACAGCCAACTCCTTTAAGGCATACCATGCTCTGTTGTTCCCAAAACACATGCATGTATCAGAAAAAAGGCATGACTTTATTTTTCAGCTATTATTTATAATATTTTAGAACATGTTTTTCCTCATGTGAACGTACAAACAATCTCAGATCTTATCCATTTTTCACACATTTGACAGAGACTATCCTTTACCTTGCATTGTTGTCCAAACAAAGGTATTCTCTGGGATCATCAACACTAGCATTAGTTGTTTTAACACCCTTATCAATGAACAAACCAGCCTGAAACAAAGAAAGAAATAAATTTCATACTATCCAGCACTGAAGGCTTTTAACTAGTTATCTTCAGCAATAAATATAAGCATTAGATTTTTAAAATTAAAAAGTTACAATGCATTCAATGCACTATATTACATACTGTCTGACCTTTCAGTTGGCCTTAGCTGATACATTCTCTAAAAAAGAGACAGATAATCTATGCTAATTGGGGGGGAGAAAGAGATTGCAAAAAAAAAAAAAAAAAAAAACAAAAAAACACAAAAAAAAA